ATATATATATATATATATATATATATATATATACTTTAAGCATCTCATTGGAAAGGGGAATCTAGTAAGTACAGAGCACTTCCAGATGGTTCCTTCACAGATAACTATGGCTGTACTACACATAGCTACTACTTGATTTCTCCAAATAAAGCACTTACCTTTGCATGGTCAATACGACTACTTAGTTCTTTGGATGCAAATCCCCCAAATATGAGACTGTGGATGGCTCCTATTCTTGCACATGCCAGCATGGTATACATCGCCTGCGGTATCATGGGCATGTAGATAACCACAGTGTCACCTTTTTTGACACCATGCTTGACCAAAACACCAGCCAGCTTAGAGACCTACAACAAAATCATTACATCAGCAAAGTGTTTTCTGTGTTATTTCACTAGACTTCTAAGTTAAGACAGTAACACAAGAAGTTGATCATCCTCTTGGTAGTGGATTAAAGAAGCCTGAGTAACACATATTTGATGATGATGTGAGCTTAGACAGTGAGAGTAATAACAGTAATAACAAACAGTATGACAATAATTGACTATGAACCAACTTATTATTATTATGCCACATGAACTCTATGGCCTAAATTTGCTTAATTATTAATTCAGCAACATATTTACTGAGCAACTATGATGTACCAGACACTGTGTTTAGAGTTAGGAACATAATGATGAAAAACAAACACACAGATATATCCCCATGGAGCTTTTATTCTAAAGGGCAAATCTGTCAAGTGAACAGAAAAGTAAAACAATGGCAAATTTAGACATACATTGGGTTAACTATTAAAAGAGACAAGAACATGTTAGGAAAGAAAACATATCATCTACTTATAAGGTAAGTAAGATAGATTCTGTTATTATTATTCTTATTTTAAATACAAGGTAGCTGAGACTCAGATATAATAAACAGCTAACTCAGAAGCCAAGAGGTAGTAAATACAGCCAGGATACCATCACAAATATTTTGACCTCATATTCTTTGCCCTTTCTATTGCTTCGAGCCAATTATTTTTTCTTTAAAGTTTTTTATACTAATTATCTATACAAAGTGACTGCCCTGTACATTGAGACCAAACATACAAACTTTGCTTAAATTTTAACATGTGTTTTGGAAATTAAAACAGGTTACGAAAAATACACCCAGACCTATGAAAAAGAAGTTCAACATTCTGTCACTTAAAAAATGTATATTGAGCACCTGTATATGGCAGACATTATTTTCTGATACACCAGTAAACAAAACAGGACAAAGATCTCTTATGGTTTAGCAGAAGAAATACAATAAACATAATTAGTAAGTGATCTATTATGTGAAAAGGTAGTCAGTGCTGTTGGGGGGGGAGGGCAGGACAAAATGGAGGGATTGAGAACACAGAAAATGTAATTCTCAATGGGAAGGTGAGGGTAGACCTCATTCAGAAAGGAGCACTTTAGCAAGGAATGTAAAAGTTAAGAATGAGTGGAGTATACTATTTCAGACAAAGAGAACACCAACACAGAGGTGTGAGGGAGATCATTTGTGATGTGATGGAGGAAAAGCAAGGAGACTAGGGAGCTGGAACAGAAAGAACAAGTGAGAAAGTGGTCGTAGATCAGGTCAGAGAGCTAACGAAAGGACTGTAGAGGTCCAGTGGGCAACTAGAAGGACTTTGGCTTGCCTTTGGATGTGGCTGCTCAAGATAATGAACAGAGGAGACCTGAGACAAGGAATTGGGCCGCAGGGCTATTTATATGGATCCTTTCATTTTATTCTGCCTTTCCTAATTTTTCAACAATTTGAAAGGATTTGGGATCCTGATAATTCTTCCTTTTTCTCTTTATTCCCTTCCTCTGTGCAGAGGGGGAAAGATGTGGTCAAAATTAAGGGCTCTGGTGAAAGACAGAAAGTAACAAATAGCTATCTTAGTGTTTTATTCTCTCCTATTTGCATGGTATAATTTAGTGCTATTTTTTAAGAACTCAAAGCTGCCCAGCATCAAGTTATGAGAAAGATACACCAAAGTGATATAATCATGAACTTTAATTCTTTCTGGAGCTAAAGACCAAAATAAACACTGGAATGTTCTATCCAAATCCTCAGTGTGCAATCCATGCAGAAAAGTACCATGCTCTGTGATCACATTACTGGGTATCCCATTTAAGCTACAGCACTAGGAGAGACCAATGAGAAGTCTGTCCTATTTACAGCTATAACTTCAGCATCTTGAATAGTGCCTATTGTTGAATAAAAATAACCTTCAACCAACACCCAATCTAGTAGTTATTCAGTAACTTTATATTCTAGTCTCACTTCTCAATGTTGCTGAAAGATGTCCCCCAAAACTTTTCTGTCCTTTGAAAGAAATGAAATCAATGAATTCAAAAAAGTTTTTGAAAAAAAGATCTCAAAATGACCCAATGCGACCCCAAGAAGTATTTAAGTTGGAGTCATGTCACAGCTTCAAAAAAATGAGCCAACATATTAAATTAGAATGTTTCATATACAAATCCAGTTTTCCAGGTTCTCCTGAAAAACTGTCAAGTCTAGCAACACCGAGCCTGTGTTCTTGAATAACAACTATCAACTGAACCTGATGATCAGCTACTAGGTTGAGCTCACCATTCCTGGGGGTATTATTGACAGAGAATTAATTTTTCTTTCCATCCTGAGTTTAAAATGTATTCTTCTACATCTTGTTTATTTTATATCATATGCTTAAACCATAGTTCTATACCCATTAAGGTGTGATATATACTGATAATGAATTTTTTTCCCACCCATTTCTCCCACTTATGTTATCTACTTGGCTCCAGCATCTGAATTGTGAACCACTTCCCTGAACGAAGACAACCTTCAGTAAATTAGGCTGCAGCAGGTGTGTACAACCACTAGATGGCGCCCATCTGGCCTTCTTAAACTGGCTTCCTGTAGCCACTCAATGTTTTGATACTGTGCTAACCACACCAGAGTTGCTCTAGAAAAAAAAAGCTATATGTGATCAACAGAGAAAATCTATTTTTCAGTAGTTTTCCAGGGCTAAATGCCGCTCCAGTAAAAGTTTACATTGTAAATTATGTAAATGATATGCATGTATGAAATTATATCGATATAAATGATACACATATATGAAATTTTACATATATATTTATATATATGAATGAAAACAGGGGAAAACATTCATTTCTGGTGAGATTTCTAATAAATATGCATATGGAAAACAAAATATTAACTCATTGCAAGAATGGACATTGGTTTAATATGAACATATGTGATAATATTTCATTAAAAAGTATTTCTTACTAATATTAAATCTAGAATTAGTTTAATATGGGAGACCTAGAACAGAATACTTAGGTCTTACTTCAGACACAATATAACCATTTTGAAAAGAAGGGTGAGCAGCAGCAAACAGAGGAAAAATCTAGAAACCCCAGTCACCTGAAAGTTCATAATCACTCAAATAAAGTGCTATGAAGCTTCAACACAAAGGGGGATGTGATGATTGCTATTTCAGGGCTCGCCTTGCTTTTATTGACCTTCAGATGTAAAATTATCAAAGAGAAAGACATTCTATATTCTTTTTGTTTAATGTTATAGTCTTATCCTACCATAGATATCTGAATGTAAATTTATAATTTCTATCGCTATCCAAAGAGAAAATATTTAACATATATCTTGTATAATTTATAGTTTCTCAACTATATAGTTAAAGGAAAGTTAAATCATGTGTAATTCATCCAATCCATATTCATTTTTGCACCTTCTTAAAGGTGTGTTTTAATTTGTAAACAATTTAATCATTTTATCACTCACATACCACCAAATTTGGTTTTTAGTCTGAGTTAAGGGCAGGACCTATGCTATGCGATCATGGTCAGGCCATGCCTCTCCGCTAGCATGATGATAACTGAGCTGTGAGGGAAGCCTGAAGAAACAAAATGAATACACATATTCATTTAGATACAACATTATTTGTTTCTTCCCACTAGAGACTATATGAGTTAATCATTATTTTGGTACTAATTTAAAACCATTCTAACATATGAGTGCCCTGTTACTGATTCAATTTATACAGTATCAGCTATGTATACTAAAGTCAAGTTTGCAAGTCAGATGCAAAAGAGGAAGACATAGTCCTTAAAGCAAAGCAATTCAGAGTCCAGGGAAAAATAATATGAATAAATAGTAATACCAACATAAGAAAATACAGTAACAGATATTTGTTATATAAAATAGTATACACATGTATTTGGTTTATATGTAACACGTGCTTATTTTGACATAAGTAAAAACTTTAAATTTTAAAATTATAAAATGAAAACATGCTCATATAAATAATAAAAAAGAATTTTATAGATTTTTTATGTATTCATCCCACAAAATCTTCATTCACAAGCAGTCTGTGGGTTAGTATAGTTTCATGATCAAATGCCCAGGACACAAATATAAACATTAGGTGAAACTGACCAAACACTATGTTCTATAGAGCAAATTAGCACTTGCTTCACAAGCAGCAAGTGTGTCCATCTAAAGAAAATAATGTTTGTATGAGAAAGATAGAGCTGGTGTCCAAATTATAGCAAAAAGATAATAATTATGGGCAATTTCAGGGCCATGTCAAAGAAAATTATATGAAAGAGAAGACATGAGGAAGCCTATTTTCAAGCTGCAGTGATGTCACCCTGCAAACCCTGGTCTAATCAATCACAGAAAATATAACTAATTGAAAAACCAATTATAGTATCTGAGAAAACAGTCTTCTTTTCCAAGGATTCTACTTGAAAAATATTCAGAAACCTTCCCTTAGTATGCTATATAAAACCACCCTGAAAAATGGGGAGCAAGCAGGGAATTTACAAGTGGCTGCTCTATAAAAGTTCGAATCAGACTTGTTTCAAGCCTAGTAGGTATAGCCAGAGATCCTAAATAAAGATATGCATATGGAATAGTTTCCCCAAGGCACAAAGTGGTGGTATCCTTTAATTGCCCATGCAAGCAACTGTTGCTACCGTTAAGGAGATTTTAAGCTAAAGGGGACCTATTTATTTCTCTCTTGGACCATTTGTCATCTCTTGACTTCCAATCTTGCCCACCACAGCTTCCTCTTTGGAGAAATCAAAGTGATGGAGCTTTCCATCGTACTTAGAATAAAATACAGTCTTTATAATGGTGTGCAAGGTCCTATGGAATCTGACTCCCGGAGGCTCCCACAACCTCACCTTCTTCCACTCTCTTCTCATGGCGGGCCTCCGGGTGCCCCATGGTGGTCCAAGTCTGTTCTTGTTCTGGGGCCTCTGTTTCACCTGAACATGGTTGTCTCCCAGCCTACATTTGGGTTTGTGTCACTGGGTCATCTCCT